TACTGAAGGATGCTACTAAACTTGTGTGCTGCTATTTCAAAAAAGCTCTTAAAGCCCATCAGGGTGGTTTTGGTTACCCCACAGCCTTTGGAGGGAGAGGGGTTGGTGTCCTGAGAAGGCAGAGCACTCCCAACCCATTCTGGTACTTCACGCCATTATTTTTCCCCCTGCACCATTTACTCCTCTGGCTTCCAGATCTTGAAATATATGTGTATGTTTATTATATCAGCATCTGTTCCCTTCTAGGAAACCACCTATTTCCCAGGTGTCTTAGCAATTAACTTCTGGATGTTCTATGAAGGAAAAACCAAATTCACCTAGTGTCAAAACTTAGAAGGCAGGATGTGATGTTACCCCTCTGATTTATGTCTGTCTGTGGGTATTTTAAAGTGTTTGCTTGTGCTGTGTGTCTGTGTGCCCCTGTACTGCGTGGTTATAAAAAGAACAAAGCCATGCACAAGAAAAACATTAAAAAATTGCTATATTTTCCACACCTGGTTAAGATTCCCATTGGTTATTTGGCTGTATTCAAAAGGCTAAGATTTTTATTGCTCTACTAGCAAAAGCAACCTTACTTCATAGCGGAGCAGTACAAAGAAAAAGCACAAAAAATCCTCACATCACAGTGCCTGAAATTCTGTTTGAACAACTGTATTGATTGGGTCTGACCCCTTTACATTTTTTTTTCCATTATTTGAAAAGGTGCATCTAACTGCAGCTGAATTGAACCAACCGCAATGAACTTTCCATGAAAACTTCTTGAGATATTTCTTTAGTTCAAAGCTCTAGAATTTTAAAGAGCATTTTTAATACAAGTCTGTTGAGGTATCCTGTGCAACAACCACACTTGGAATGTTAAACTACAGGTAAATGTAAGAGGGAGGTAAGATTATAAAAGCTGCCATGAACTTGCTGGGAGATGGTGGAATGACTTCAAGTGCTAATTATAAAGTAAATAAAACCAGAACGTATTGAATATGTGTAAAAAGTAAATGCATATAGAAAGTATATCCACATTTGAACACTGTTGACTTATTATTTACATGTCAGTGCTCCTGGTTGCCTTACAGAGAGTGGAAAACAGCTTCTAAAGAAAACAGAATTAGCATTTTTGGAGCTGCTGTTGGTGAAATTGTGTTACCAGATGTAAGCTTGAGGGACAATGATGTTTTCTTGAATCCTCTTACCAGGAGCTGTAGCATAAGGAAGCACTAAAAGAAGGAAGATATTAAGAAATTAAAGGTGAGTGGTGAAATTGTAGAAAATCATGGCAGAGATGTATCTGCAAGGTGTAAGTAAGAGGCTGAAGGTGAGGGTGGAGAGCAGCCTGGTGGTGGGAAATGAGAGGTAGTAAAAAGATGCAAAGAGCTCAAATGCATAGACTTGTCCAGCAGCAAAATGCTTCTATGAAAGCACTTGGCCTAAATTGTAATGGAGAAGGTAAGAAAGAATAGCTGGGAAATGAGAATGTTTCATGTCCCAGTACAAAAAATACCTTGTGAAAGAGTTGAATAAGGGAGTCGGATGTTGGTGGTAGTAGTGGAAGAAGGAGAATCAATGATGACTTCAGGGTTGTGTTTTGGTAGCAGAACAATTGTCTTTCCTATTGCCAGTTGCTGTGCTTTTTTCCTAGAGAGTGCCTAAAGTTTTTTCAGTCTTGCCTTTTCATTTTTCTCTACTGGATCCTCATATGGCCACCATAAATGGTACTGGGTTTGTATAGATAATAGCACAAACTGTAAGTGCGAGCTCCTTCTGCACCTGCACATCAAAATTAACTCAACTTGGGTTAAATCACCAAGTATTGTGTTTCTTTAATGCTGTGCAAAAACTAAGGAAACTCATCTCCCATCACAGTGCTGTACACCTCTTGCACTAAGATATTTTTCTCAGGAAAAGTGCAGAGGTGACAGGCTTAAAAGCAAACAAAACCAACTTTTGCTCTGTCCCTTCAGTTGAGGGACCTTGACACATGTCCCCTCTCTTAATCCCCTGACAGCTTCCAAGAGACTGATGCAAAGAGCCATGCCAGGCTTTGATTATGAGATATTGCACTGCCACTTATTCTCTTTGTCTCCTGCAGTTTACAGAGGCAGCTTCAGTGCATAATTTAATCCCTGTACTGGGGACTGTAGCAAATCCACAGAGATTTCTACCAACCGTCCTCTCTGGCATCAGAACAACATGTGCACATCGTCTTTGATGTGAATTCCCCAACCAGAGCCTTAGAGGGACCTATAGCTTTGAAGCTGGCCTATAAATTGTGCTTTCAGGAATCAAGTTGTCAGCCTCCTCTTCAGGAAGAAAGGGAGAGTAAACTGCAAAGCACTTGCAAGAAACTACAGGGCAACTTACAGATCTGGTTTCCTTGGCCTTGGAGAATTCCTGTAGGATGTTGAGAATCCCTTTTTACCTGGCTTAGAAGCACCCTCTGTGGAGACTGCCAGACCTGTGGGCACTGGGGCTGTGATGGAGCTCACCTGGAGGGGTTACTGGTTCCAGGACAAATGGAAGGGGAACAGGCACACCAGTGCTTTTGACCTCATTCAGGTGTTTTCAGTCTTCCAAAGCCAAGTGCTGAGAATGTACCTGTATTGTTCTTTGTGTAAGCAAATTTTCAGTATGGTTTAGAAACAGATGGAAACTTAGCAGATGTGATGGTTGTTCTGTGATTACCCTCTGAGGCCTAACTTCAGTCCTTCCCTGAGGTGTAGGAGATCAGGCAGACTTTTGCCTTTCTATTGAGATGGAAATTAAATGGTGTTTGAGTTGAGGAATTTCAGTGGACGAGTCTTGTTTTAATAGACAAATGCAGTTGCCCTTCTTATGAGTCAAGATCTGCTTATGATGTGTTCTGCTATCGTCTCTGGCAGCTCCTTCCATACCAACTTGAAAAAGCAAAGGGCTGGCTGGAGTCAACCAAGACACGGACTTTGGTTTTTCCTGCATTCCCTGTCTCCAATGAGCTGAAACCATCCGGCTCCTATCCATGCCACTGCTGCTGATACTGTTGTATCAAATGTTGCTAAAACTGACTCCTGCAGTAAAACATTCACTGCACGAACTGAGCCTTTCATGGCACATAGGCATAGATCAGTCTGCAAGTTCTTAGAATGTTTATAAATGTTAGGCAGAAACAGACAAGACTGTGTAGAATAATTCTTCCTATTTTGAGCAGGTGAGTCTTAGGTCAGCATGACAGATGTTACCCCAAATCTCATCAGGTATTCATATTTGGTGCTCTACTTTTGGGGAATGGAAGTCCTGCTAATTTTTTTTTTCCTGGTCAGAGCTGTATCTAGAATAGTTTAATTTCAGTTTATTTTTTAATCTTTGTGTGTTCCATTTATTTATAACTGAAACTGACGGCCTAACCAGGGAGGCAGGAGGCTGAGTGGAAGAGCCCCTCATTTTGTCTGTCAGTAGAGCTGTGCAGGGCTGGCCAGCTGGATCTGCATGCATTTCCTGGGTTTTTCCAGATCCCACCGTGAATCTCTGCATGCTGGTGGGAGAGCTCAGAGAGCAGCACTGCTGGCACAGAGAAGGCAGAGAGGTGAGTGGCAGCCACAGCTAAAGAATTTCAACAGTGAAATGCTGGTTTTGAGTTCAGCTTGAGTGTCTAACCAGGAAAACTTGGAATGGGTCTATTAGGAAAGTGATCACCTGTTCTCTTAGGGAGGCATCTCACTCTCTTTCCTAGAGATAGAGCAGCTTTCCTAAGTCATAGTGAGGTTTTCTCTCTTCACAATGCACAAGCAACGTAAATTTCTTCCCTATGTATTAGAAGCTTGCAGTACTGGGAAAACAAAAAAAATTATGTAAATCAAGTACAAATGACTGTTAGTGGCTGCTGGAACATGGTTCTTGAAATGGAATGAGTGGAAGAGCTTGTATTAAATGCAGATGTAGTAAAACACAGTAATCAAAATCTACACTCAGTTTCTATTTACAATATTACTTTTATTTTTTCCATACTTATTCCAAGTCCTCCCCCAATAGCTGATGCTGCAATGTTTACATTCAACTAGGCAATGATAGTACAAACTGCTGCTTCCCTTCAGCCAGTTGGCTTGGAAATGTTGTCTGCACATCAGGAATTGTACACAGGAATGGAGTCTCCAGGAGCACCCGAGTGTCCCTGGAACACTGCTGTGGAGGTACCAGAGGTACAGGGCAGAGGGCCTGCTCTCCCAGCCAGGAGAGGCAGGTGATCTGTCTGCTGTACTAAGAGGAAAAAAAGTCTAAAAAGCTCTGATATTTTATTCATTACATGAATGCAATGACTTTGCAGAGGAATGGATGTGTTTAGTTCTTGCTGGGAGGAGTTGCTGAACTCCTGGCTTTCTAGGCATATCAGCTTGACTTGACAGGTACAGCCTTGTGCTAATTGACTCAGACCTCCAAGTGATGCATGTGCAGGGAGAAAAGGAAGAAGGGCTCGCATACTTAACTCTTTATTCTATATTTTAAAAAAGCTAAAACGATTTGTATATCCTTTTCATTATCAAAGTATACTTTCTCTTTCAAAGTAAACTGGTTTCTCTGGGAGGTGTTATTTTTAATAACAGCTCAGTGCTCTAGCCAGGAACCGGTAATTCAAAAAAATCACTCTTTTCTACTGAAAGGTAGAAACAACTACAGCTCCTCCCCCTCATTAGAAAGCCAAAGAAGCGAATTAGAGCCTTCTGTTGTATTACACTTTTCTAAAACATATTCTCTATGCAACTGCTGTAGGACTTCAGATGGATACAGTGATCAATGCTGTCACAAAACTGAGCAATTTCTCCTCAGCCCTGCCAACACTAGCATCTACAGATAAAATCATTGTTTAAAGCTCATCACAGAATAATGCTGATATTGGTATTTTACAACTAATGCAACATCACGTAATTCACATGTAATCTTAATAGTTAAAAATTCAAGACTGGGGCACTAACTGAATAAACCACTAACATGAAGCTTCCTTATCTGGCATGGAATAAGGGAAGGGATAATTCAGATAACATTGTAAAGATTGGGCAAGAACAAAACAAATTTATTTCTCCATCCAGGATTTTATACACTTTACAAAAACCAGTAATATCACTGCGCCCATAAAAATGTTATCCATGGCAACAGAAAGCAAATACTACTTCTGTCATCTAACAGGGTCTTTTTAAAATCAAAATACAAAGATCTGTGCTGTAGCAGTCCTCCACTTTGCACTGTAACAATAAGGCTTACTGTACTTTAAATACAAAGCTGTTACATCTGCAGTTATGAACCACTGGCTTTCACAAACATCATTTTATAGTTGCTTTTTGCTTCTTTTTTGTTTTCTGGAACCTCAGCTTCATCATGTTTTTCAGTAGCTTGTAGCTCCTCTGCAGACTCCTCTTGCTCTGAATCAGAGCCACTTTCAGAATCATCTGAACTCTCATCAGAGGAGTGTCCAGCTGCCTCCTCTTCGTGTTCATCTTCCTGAAACTGTAAGTTCAGATTATGAGAGAGATAAAATATTATTTTCTGGCAACTCCACTGCAGCCTTTAAAATTTCCCAGTGAGATTGTTTCACTTAATGGCTCCTTTCTTTTTGGTACTAAAATGGGTCATCTTGCTAAACAGAGGCCTGTAAGACACAAACTGTTAGAAAGCAACTCCCTGAAGTGGTTAATCTTGCCAGCTGTGACATGGATGCATCAGCCACTGGTTGATTTAGTTAGAGCAGAAATCCTAAAGACACCATTCAATGAGTTCTAGATCACATCAGTTCAGTAATTCCAGTATTGACACTGGAATATTTGTGACACAATGGAACGAAAGGCTAGGCCATCAAGAATTCACATTTGTGACTGATCGCTGAAAGGACACTTAGCAAAATGCAGCATGAGGAATTCTGAAGTAATCCAATGATATTGCTAACAACAATGCAGATGGTTATCCTGCCTACTTATGTATTCCTCAGCAACACTCTGTCACTCTGTGCCCTAATCAGTCTTGACTGCTCTGGAGCAGAAGTCTTCACTTTTGAGAAGAACGAGAAGCATCAGTCATTTATGAGCACCTACATGACCACCACAGTGTACACAAACAGCAGCCAAGTGGCTGCAAAAAGTTTGTCCTTTAACCCAAACCAAGGAAGTCTGCTTGGATTTTTAAACCCAGCACCACCTTGTCTTAGTGAAGTGAATGCCAAATCACACAGAAATGAACTCAGTACCTCACTGAACCCGAGCCCGCAGTGGCGCCGGTTCCGCCCCGACATGGTGCTGTCCATGCTCTGCTGGTACTGAGACTCCAACTCCTCGTTCATTTTCTTGTCTTCTTCCCCTGCATTGTCCAGGGTACTTTGGTTATGGTTATTCAAATTAACAGAGACACCAAATTACAGGAAGTCACATTTTCAAAGGCAAGAAGTTTAAATGCAACCATTCTAAACTAGGATCCAGTATTACTGCATACAAACCATCAGACTTTAACAAGGGTGCAAGCAGGATGGCTTTGATACAAAGAGGGCTGGGAAGTTCCTGACACCTGATGCATTCCAGAGTTGCACTATGCAGTGTTATGTTCTACAGAACAAGGTAAATGTCATCAGTGTGAGTTCTCTGTGCTTCCAGCCAATACTGCAACATGTCCCAGCAAGGAGAAACTTTGTGACCTTCACTACATAACACGGGATTACTGTGATGAAATCATCCCTCAGATATAGCATCACGCCTTGGACAATAGCACCACTCTTGTTTATGGAGCTGTATCTGAAACTGTTTCATGCATTCCAAATTACAAGGTGCAGTTACTACAGCTCTGTATTTTTCCATCCTTAGCAATTAGCAGAAAAACTAATTTTCATGAGCTATTTCTATAGCTTCTTTATTTACTCGAATAAGTGGTCTAAAATAGTTAAGGTTCCTATGTACTTGGAAAAGGCAGGAATCTCCAATTCTCCCCAGGAGGCCTACAACACTAGCTTTTAATTTCTATCTCTGTGAAGCTGAAGGTTGTATTGTATTCCACATTTCCTCATTTGGAAATTAGAGCTGTATGTTATTTTAAAAGGACAAGAACTGTATGTTGGAAAAGAAGTGTTTAAACCCCCAGCATTTTAACTTTTTGCTATTAACAGATGAGTACTGATTCTGTGTATCACTGCAAGGAGAAGCATCACTTCCTTTCCAGAAAATCAGGTATGAAGGAATGATTCTCAGTCTCTGTAAGCTAACAGTAGCAGCACCTGGAACCAATCCTCAGGCTTATTTTGGGCCACGAAAAATGATCAGTGGAGTGCAGCAGGGAAAGTATTCTGGAATATGAGGGAAAGTTTTCTGGAGTGCTGACAGCTGCTATTCCACAAGGCTTTATCAAGGCTTCTCTCAGGCAGTGCAGTCCAACCCAGCTTGGTACTTTGACTTCTCAAAACAGCATGATAAGGAGTTACCATGGTCCTACAGACATCCAATTATTGCTGACTGCCTTGATCTTGCAGATGACCTTGCAGCTTTTACCTCATTGCTTTAGGGTGGGGATCTTTCTATTCAATAGGTAACCAGGTCAGGGACAAACCAACCTGTTCTTTTCTATGTACATAGTTTGGATATCCTGGCATACACTGGACTTTAAAAGGCAAGTGAGTGCAGTCACAGAAACCAATTGTCAGTAATCTAACAGAAATAAGGAACTTCTACAGCTCCACAGCCTGATCCATCCTCAGCTGCAGCCACGAATCCTGAAATCGCTCCCTGCCATATCTACCGAGCTCCGAGCACTGGAATGTTCCTGAATAAGGGTTAGATTTCCAGCTTTGTATCAGCTGTTGGATAAACTGACCTGTCCTGAAGTGAGAGGTTGATCTGTGGTCTCCGATAACAAGGCGGCCAGTATGTTCTTTCTAAAAGAAAAGGCATTTTGTTTTGGAGCTTTAGGGTGCACTGACAGCTCTGCCAACATCCTGGACATCTTGAACCGAAAAGGTTTGCTGTCAAACCCTGTCACCCAACTGCAGGACTGGAAGCTTTCCTAGCTAACAGCTGCTGCCTCTAGGTGAGCTTGTTTCATCTTTCTTTTGCTGAATTTTCTGAAAAAGAAACCCCAACAACTACACACTCCTTGCTCTTCCCAGACCCCAGAGATGATTCTATTTCACTCTGTTTCTTGCCACTGATACAAAAATTATACTACACGATGCCAGACAGATGTGTATTCAGGTTCTGATCATTTACCCTTTCTCAGACACTCTGCAACAGTTCAGGCCATGCATCTTACGATGATCCCACTTTCAGACTGGTCACAGCGCCAGGTAAGACCTTCACAGTGATGATTAATTTATTGGCTCAGTAGTTGCTCATTAGCAAATGTGTCCCAGTAGGCAAGAGCTGGCATTACACAGCAAGCAGCATTAAGTACCCAAGCAGACATTCAGATTAGTGGTAGTGGGACGCTTTAATGGGGCACTGTATCCCCATCCACTACAGAGTCCTAACTTTCACCTCTTTAATACAGTTAGCTATTTTAGCTTACAAAAGTACTGTATTCAAGCAAAATAAGTTACTACAGGTAAAAAGGGTTTTTTTGTAAAGTAAGTAAAAGTGCAATACTAAACCACCATTTTATACATGAAAAAATCATTATTACACTTAACCAGTTTTGCAGCACTTTTTGCAGCAAGCATAACAGAAATTTAGCTTTAGCGTATTTTCTCTTTAAAAATATTCCCTAGGCTTACTACTTCAGTGGTTTAGTCTTTAAGCTACCAATCTTTTAAAAGTTTTTTCCAGTGACAGAGAAATTGACAGAGGTTTGTTAATGTGTAGCAAGGCCTGTCTCTCGGAAGCGCCAACAAGCAAATTTACGAGCCGGTCTGAGAGCATTTAAGCCGCGGGGTGGGGATGAAGCTGCGGCGCAGGACTCGACAACTTCCGAGCGCCGTTTTGTGTAACCCGGCTGCTGCCACAACAGCGCTGAACCCCACACCCTCCGAAAGGAGAGCCCCAAAGCCCGGCAGCTCTGGCTTGTTGTAGCCCCGCAGAACCCCGGTCCCGCGCCCGCCCCCGCGGGGCCCACGGGCAGCGGGGCGGCCTCACCTTCGCGGCGCCCATCAGCCGCAGGAACTTCTGCTTCCGCTCCTCGTTGCCGAGGTCCGCCGCCTCCCAGCTGCTGGAGCCCTGCGGGAGCACACGCTCACTGCGCCCGCCCGCCCCGAGCGAGGCCTCCGCGGCCGTGACGGCCGGGCCGGGCCCCGCCTCGGGGCGGGCGGCGGCGGTGCCGGGAGACGGGAGCCGGCGCTTCCCGGCACTTCCCGGCGCTTTTCGCTTCTCTCGGCTTTGGGAGGGCGGACCCTGCCCGCTGCTCGGCTGGATTCAGTGCCCGCCGGTCCGTGTTTGTGGGGCCCGCGTGGAGCCCTGTGTGCGCCGCTCCCGGTGTTCCCGTCAAGCCCTCAGTGCCTCCGGCTGTTGCCGCCACTGTTGTCCCGTCACCCCCACAGGTGTGCGAAACACAGATTGATGCTGTCCCCAGATTTGTCATGTCTCAAAGGCAGGTGCCGGGAAGGTGATGCCGGACTCTTCACAGGGGTGAAGAGGAGCAATGGCCATAAACAAGAAGTTCCCCTTCACGAGCAGAAATTTCCTTACACTGAGGCTGGCAGAGCCCTGGAACAGGCTGCCCGGGGAATCTCCATCTCTGGAGACATTTAAAACAACCCAGTGCAAATATTTTTTTTAAATTTTTTTGAAATTTTTTTTTTAGAGTATTAGGTTCATTCCAACTCAAACTATGATCATGATATTATATATATGATGTGATATGTAGAATATAATTATTTTCAAGGGCTGTTTATACAGAATAGCACTAGGATATTGATGTTTTATTTCATGTTTGTATTACTGCTCCACTTCAGTGTGCAAAACCACAAAGGCACAGTTGTCACATTTGCTTTCTACAGCTTCTGTGGTTCTTGTTTAGCAATGATAAATGAGCAGAAACAATAATTAATCCAAGAGAATAGTATATTTGCATCTTTAACCTCATTTAATGTATTTAAATGTACAGACTATTATATAGAGACTGTAGTAACAGCTTAATTTAAATTTTAGCATTTAAAAATTATTTATAACAAGAGGAGTAAAACTACAAAAAAACCCCTGAAAGTGACATTACTTTGTAAATTAAAAACTCCATTTGTAGTAGTATCTAGCGGCCTTTTTAGACTGTTTAACTTAATAAGAATTATGGTAATCTAATACCAGTGAAACTGCATTTTTCTATTTTTTTAAAAGTTAAGTTGTTGTTAGTGTTTCTGTACTGTTATGCTTAAAGACCTGTATCTCAATAAAAAAAGTGTGACATTTTAACTTCATGGCTATATTTCCCTTGTGGGACAAACAGAGAAGGTTTGTCTTTGGGAAAAAAGGTGTAAAAAATAAGACTGCTCAAATCAGCTATTGTAACCATATCTTAGTTGTGCCTTATTGTTAAGTTCAATAACTTTTTGGGGTCAAGTGAAATTGAGTAATGTTTGTGTGTCTGACTAATGCTTTGTTAATTTTGTTTTTGTTTACATTTTAAATAATGATGTGGTGCTGATGTTTTAGGGAGAGGCTTTTACGATTTTTTTTCCTCCCTTAGTTTATTGCTCCCTTGTTTAAAATGCTCTGTTTTTGCAGGGAAGAAGTACCTTACCAAACAGAGACATCCTAAACATTAAATGGCAGCCATCTACCTATGGGATCACTTAAAAATGCAGTCATCTGAATGCTAACAAAAATGTGGATTCTAGTAGCAGAATGGTTGTGTAAAGGTTTTGCCTGTCTTCCTGCAGATATTACAGATTTGTCTGAGGATGTGTGACTCATAAGCTTTATATAATTCCAGTAACACTAATAAATGATAAGAAGGGAGTTCTGAAAATCCTGTCCTGCTGGGGTTCAGTGTTCTATTTGCTGCATTCTTCTGAGCAACAGAGAAATGTCATTATTCTCAGAAGAAGGGACACTGAGTTTCTAAGGAGAAACATGTCTTCTCCACTCTCTGAGGCTGTTCTGGAGTACAAATAAAACAATAGGTAAGGATTCTGGGTAATATTTGTGAGAGTTTTCCACTGTTTTGCCATAGTCTTTCTGGAGACACTGTCCTGAAGATAACATTCAATTCACAGGAGGTGAGGTTTTGTCATGAAGCACAAACTGGCTGGAATGCAGAAACAGAACCTCAAGCAAAAGGCTGCCTGTGTAGAGGGAGGAACAATGAGGTTTCATGTTGGACATTAACAGAGGCAATGAGGTAAGAGTGAGATGAGCTGAAATGACAAGTATGGTAACAGAATTATTTTCTGTCGTGTACAATTATCCCCTTAGATTTTTCAATATATTGCTGCTGCTGTGGTGAGCTGCAGTCAGTGGGAGCAGGGTAGGTACACACCAGTTCTGCTACAGGACATACCAGAAGAATCACTTGAATGAGGAGCTTCCAAGTTTTGAAGCTCAGTAGTTCAAAAAGCATTAGAAAAACTTTCATGCAGACAAAACCTTGTCAAGGAAAAAAAAAGGATGTTCTGGAATTAAGTGAAAATAATCAGATGGAATGGCACAAGGTGAAGTGCAGTGAAATGAGCTGAAACTTGCTGAAATGATACTGAAATCATGAGATCTCATCTCCTTTCACGGAAAGGGATAGGGGAGGGAAAGTTGAGGCCTAACTAGATCTTAAGGAAGCAGTGTCATGAGTGAAGATCCTGGTATATATTCTTCACAATTATTTTTTTTATTTAATTGGGTTTTAGCTTTTTCTGTAGAGGTAGGGTAGATTAAAGTAGAACCAGATCTGACAGCTAAATAATTTGTCATGGTATAATGTGGTAAGGATGTCTTTGCCATTGCAGAGATTGACTGGGCTGCAATAATACAAATTTCACATAGTGACCAAGATAGTGGTCAGCTCTGGCTTGGAAGCCATGGATACAGGGTTGAATCTTCCCTTGGTTAGTCCTGACTCGTCTCAAGACTAAGTGGCTTTTGGCAAATTATCTCGCTTTTCTGATTTATCTGTGAAATTAGGATAATATATCTGCATGCCAGTATTACGAATTAATTATCAGTTGCAGAGTGTGTGTTCAAAGCAAAGTATAAGTGCTAAATATTAGCTGTGGAGTAATTGGACTACTGTAATTTATAATATGCTCACTGACATTGGCTTATAAAACAGGATCAACCTCTTCTCAAGTGCTGTAGAATGTTTAATTGTTACTAATGAACTTCTGATACTCAAAGTAGCTATCACCATGAGGCAGGGAATGCTGCCAGTACCTGTCTGTGAGAAAGCTTAACAAGGACATGAATGCCTTTTTTTTTAGCTTGGAAAAAACCCAAATATGTACACATATACCTATTTTAAGTGCACAGTTTGAATTACATTTTTTTTAGACAAAAAGCTTTATTTTATATAAAATAGAAACATGACATTACCCTACCTTTTCATCTCTTTCAACCTATTTAAGCTGAAAATGCTTCCTGTTTTCTGGGCAGCTTTGCTTACTACAAAACTTTGCCACAGGGAAGAGGAGAAAATATTCTGAAAGTGTAGGAAAGAAAGTGTATATCACTGAAAGTGAGGAAAGAAACTCTTTGATTGAAATCTGACTTGCCCAGCAAACTTATTCAATGCGTTTTAGTGGCTCTATGTCTGCCAAAAGTTCAATTCCAATCTCTTGTTTTCTTTTAAGGGGTTGGGAAGAAGGAGAGACAAGCTGAGAGCAAAGAAAGAGATGTCAACAGAAGGATTGCTGACAAGGGAGCATCAGTTGAGTGAAGGCAGTCGTAGCTGTTAACATTTAAAAAGCCCTTTCAAGAACTAACAAAATAAAGGATAGAGAGGTCCTCATCCCGAAATGGCTTTTATATTTCTGAACCTGTTGTAAAAGCTTTTTTAGAACACTTCCCATCTAAAACCAAAGTAGTTTCTATCATAAACAAGGCAGACAGTACATCAATACAAAAACTATCTTCAGTTACTTTTATTTCTGGACTAGCAGAAAAGGCCATAATTCACTATCACAGGAAAAAAGTATTGTTGCCCTTGTTTAACAAAGGAAGAAAACAAAGATTGGAGAGATTGTGTCCTTGAACCTGGGTCTGTGCAGGCTTCTAGTAACCCTGCATGTATTAGGCTTCTACAAAGATTTTTTTTTTTTTAGTTCCCAATTTTAACACAGTAACAGGTATGATAAGAAGCTTTGTTTTGGTACAGTCCTAGTGCAGACAGTAGTTTTTATATCTGTGTAGCCAGGCAAGGCCAACAATGTATCTCCTATTTGGTGCTGATGTGAACCAGCTACCCCAAAATAGCTGGTAGGAAATAGACTGGTTTGCTTTCTTAAGATTTTACATTGTATTAAACTGACCAGACTTCTTCACTTACCACTGTACAGGGTATAGCTCTAGAATACTGTAGCTGAGTAAAAATCATTTTTATTGCAATGAAAATACAGCTTTATATATCTCACGTCTTTCCTTCTTTTTCTTTTGTGCTTGCTAGCACAGACAAAGACAGGACATTTCATAGAAACTATCTGCCAAGTTCAGTTATTGTACTGTGAGTCTGAATGAGGAGAAAGTCTTCAGTATTATCAAAACTAATTGTGTTTGTTTAGAGTGGAAGCTCTGTAGATCTTTCCTTTGGTGTCTCTTCTTTTCCTTTGGTATACTGTTTCATCCATCTGTAGTAAATCAAAATACTTTAGGGAAAAGAGAATCTTAACATTTTTATCTTTTTGTCTTAATGAATTTATCTTAGGAGTAATTTGAAGATGGTGTGGACAAACCACTGCTTAACATTCTCTAGTGAGTAACGCTGCTAGAAAGGTAGAAAAAAAAAATTAACATTGTCCTTTTTTGAGTCTCACAGCGCTGTGTAAGCCAGAGTCTTTGAAATCTGCTGAAAATAGTCTGTAAACAGAATTTGTCTCTTCATATAACTGTTTCTGTTCCTAACAGCTTTGAATCTTTTATTGGATGAACAAAGAGGAATTAGAAGGAAATGTAAGTGGTATGGAAAAACTGTGACTCTGTGTTCTTCCTAACCCTGTATGATTGTAGTAGTTTCTCCCCTCTAGGGACTTCAGTAACATTTGTGGAAATGGTCAGTGGAAAGGAGTAAGAAATAGCACCAGGTATCTTTATCCTGCTGGTTTCACTTGATCCTTAGAGAAATATTTTAAAGGTGTGAAAAAAAGAGGTGTGCTAAAGCTCTGATGT